CCCAATAAGCCAGGGAAATAACAGGTGAAACTCTGCGATTACTATTAAATTCTAAGAACCTAAAAAGTTTAAAGGCGGGGTATTGGGGAACTAGGAGCTACACGTCTTGTTTCAAGCTTCTGAAACAGCTGGCAATAACCTATTCGCCTGATATCGGTCAGCCGAAACACTACATCTTCCGGCCAACCGCCCCCCAAACCCTAAACCCCACGCCCGGAACCTTTCACCCTAAACCCCTACCCTAACCCTCCAGGCACCTANNCCTACTATAGACGGTACTAGAGCCCCTAGGGCCCTATATAGTAGGTCCCTGGAGGGTTAGGGCTATAGCTAACATAAACCCTAAAGTTCCCTCCTAAACTCTAAAACCCCAAACCCCTAAAACCCTAAACCCCTAAACCCTAAACCCTAAACCCTAAACTCCTAAATCCCTACCCTAAACCCTAAACCCTATAGCTAACATAATAAACTCTAAAGTTCCTCCACATATGTTCCCCAAACCCGCCACCCGTAACTCCAAGCCCCTCAACCCGAGAGAACCCTCGAGTCTCCCGAAACCCTCGGGTCTTTTCTTGCGGGTTCCTTCTTATAGTTACATAGTATAGTATACCCCGAAACCAAAGGGTTTTGGAAATAAGGTTTAGGGGGTTCCTTCTTATAGTTACATAGTATAGTACACCCCAAAACCAAAGGGTTTAGGAAATAAGGTTTAGGGTTTATTCAGGCATTCAGGCCCGCCGCCTGGTTGGCGAGAGGTGGAGGAATCATCTTTCGGTGGTGCCGAAGAGCTTTCAGTTCCTCGGATTTTAGCTTCGAAGCTTGCGCAAGCTTCAGGGTTTCGGAAAGGGGCTGCCGCTCCGGATTCGACAGGAGGGCTTTTCGTTCCGTCGGGGACTGAATAACCCTAACCCTCCAGGGACCTACCACATAGGGGTGTAGGGGCTCTAGCACCCTCTATAGTAGGTACCTGGAGGGTTAGGGTAAGATCATGACTATGGGAGTGCCAAGGGTCAATGCTTCGGGTCTGATTTCTTAGGGTGCGAGGAAGTGAAACGTGTCCGAAGGCCTCCAAGGGGTTTTAACAAAAGACGACGGATCCCTTCGGATGGCGGCAACACAAGCCGCCGCTCCAAACGGAGACAGAAGCCGACAAACAGAGAGAACACATCTTATTGTCGCTGGTATTCCCAAAGAAGGGAGAAATGTCAATGCCCTAAACCCTACACCCCTTGCCCCTACACACGCATAAACTCTATTCCTACATGGTTGTGTTTTTTGTCGGTCTCTGTGTGGATTTCGGCAGAACTTGTAGGGCGGGGCTTAGGGGCGTGAGTGTAGGGTGTTTAGGGTTTTCAAGGGGTTTAGAGTTTAGGGTAACACGGCCCACAGAATTCGTTTTGACAGTCATGACGTGGCATTGCCGATGACCCGACCCTCAGACACCAGAACGGGTCAAATGAGGAATATGAACAAAGCTCCTGTGTTTTCTGCCAGTTGTTTGCGAGAACATGATGATAAAGCTTCCTGGTTAACCACGCACCTTCAACATCCTTAAACTACAGAGGACAGAGGCTTGCTTCTAAGATGGTTAAGGGTACCTTCCTTCAGAAGGGTTTGCTGGAGTCTTGGGGACCCTAGTCTCCGTTTCGGGACTCGAGGAGATGCTTCTCCCAAGAAGCTGCAGACTACTACCTTTCGGCTACTGGGCTCTGTTAGTTATTAAGGAATTTGAAGCTACCCAAATACGGATCTACCTACCGTCTCCATTGCAGTTCCTTTTTCTGGGTTAACCAAATTCCATATTTAGGATCCTATAAGGTAACCCCAAAAAGGAACTACAATGCAGATTATAGGCATAGTAGCTAGCAGTAGGGCTTTATTCTTGTTAAAGGAAGTTCCTTCACAAGAACTCAAGCTGACGCCTGATGCGCAACATGGATGCCAAGCGTCGTTTTCGGGTGAGGTCGACCCCAAGCGTTTCTACCGCAACAGATGGCCGGTGGTTCGCATCTACGGGGGAAGGGGTGTCGTCCTGAGCCGACACTGCGGAGAAAAGAGACAAGACCTCACCAATCATTGCTTTGGATTTGGGCCTTGGCGGCTTGTAGGCTTTAGGGTTTACCACCTTCAGGATTTAGGGCGCCGGATATTGAATCTAGAAACCAGAACAAGGAATCCACACGAGACAATCCCCAAATCAAAGACTCCTGAATTCCGCAATTCGTGTACTCCCAGCAAGCTGCCGGAAGGACAAAAGGACCTTTCTATTTCTACGCCGCGGGGAGAACCCTGAGCCCGAAGCATCTGCTTTTTGTGAGGGCTCAGGGTTTGGGCCTAGGGTTTAGAGGCTTTGATCCTAGACCCTGAGATTCAATATACACGAAGCCGAAGGTTCAGATCTCCGATGAAGTCAAGGGACTCAATGGGTCTACAATCGGAGTCTTACGTGGGACTACCAAGAGCATCCGATAATGGTGTGGCCTTTTGGAGTGTACGGAGATAGACTCGTTGTGTCCTGAAGGCAGCTGACTGTAAACTCGACAGGACAACAGCTCCGCCGAGACCTGAAATTGAACCTACGGTCTTTAGCGTTGGACCTTACAGGTACAGAGCCCCTACCTACTGTCTTGCGGTTTTGGCGGCTAGGGGCAAATGCACCCTGAATTTGAACAACAGTGAAATGACATCCCTGACCTTGCAAAGCCATATGTAGACGTTGTCAAGTCAAGCTACTTCTCAAACAAGTGCATCACGCCCCCAGAAGCGGAAGAGCTCACGCACCGCACGGCAAGTAATTATACTGCAAGCGCTAGATTGCCATTGAGTCCAGCATTTTTTCAATCAGGAGGCCCTGCAACAAACCTCAAACCCCACGATTGGAATATGATCCACATCTGACGGAGCATCACACAGCGCACACGACAGCCATAGCCTCGGCATCAGCGCCGAGACCAAGCGTGAATCGGAGATCCGGATGTAAAGCAAATACAAGCGTGATCGGAACTTAGGGTCTTAGCAGGGCTTATAGGACGAGTCTATAGAATTTAGGATTGCGGGTTGGGTGCTTTTGGCCTTTGTTTTTTCGGACCTGGATGCACCTCTTCAGACTGCATACCCGCGCAATGTAGCACAGCCACCAGCGACATATGAGGAATTAACACATGGATTCCGGAACTGCCTTGAGCAGTGAAGCCGCAGAAGGTCGATGATGTAATTAACCCCATAACTCGGTATGAAGAACCATAATACAAAAAGCCTACCACCCCATAACTCCGTATGAAGGACCACAATGTAAAACATAACATCCCATAACTCCATATGATGAACCACAAATGTAAAACAACACAGAACACCCTTAAGAAAACACACAAACAACAAACCCAAAACACAGTCCATGGAGATCAGGCAGGGGTCGAATTGGCTAGACTTGGGTTCTGGACACCTGCTTTCCTTGTAGATGCCGTAAAGGATGAACAAAGTGAACTACCGGGGCGCAGAAACAACGAAAGGCTGAGTATTGAGCTATCTGTCGACGTGCGTGGATAGTGGGACCATCGCTCCCTCTCTCTCTCTCTCTCCCGCTGCAGATGCTCATGTATGCACGTATGTCTACAAAGTTCTATGTTTTTTGAAGGACCTGAAGCCCCTATCGCTGCATAGCCTGGGGGCGC